TCCGGGACGCTGTCGTTAAGCCATCTTTCCACGAACACAAGGACACAACACTCACCCACAGTCTAAGAAGTTGTGCGAAGTAGGTGGATATAATCCAATTTATTGTCCAGCGAGTGTACGTTGGCCAGTGTGATGGTAGGGATAGCCGGCTGGTGAGGGCTGGCCGCTAGCCTAGCCTGGATACCTCCGTGCTTTCCCCTCTTCTGCTTCCTCATATTTCGCCTGGCGCCTCCACGGTGGGCTGATTGCAGGAGTGGGGGTCGGTGGTTAAGCAGGCCTCTGGAGCAGACCGCAGCCGCGTAGCTCTTCTGCGTCCGCTGGGTTTATGTCCGTGAATGTGGTTCTGTTGATGGCGAGCAGAAACTCACGGGAGTATGTGCGTCTAGGGTTTAATGGACGCAACGATGACGAACAGATGCACGTAGGTACACAACACAAAAAACATAAAAACACCGATCTGTCGGGAGAGAGAGGAGCCGCTGCGTGTGTACGCACCACCATCTTGGTGTGTCATCACCTTTACCTTCCATGTCAGCACTCTCAAAAAGAGGAGAAAGGAGTGTTGTGTTCCCATCTTACTAGCTGTCAGTGAGCACTGGCTCCTCATCTCCTTCCATCCATGCTCTGCCAGTCCTCGTAGAGCTCCAGTTTCCTCTGCTACAGATACTTCCAGTCACATTACAAAGCCAATGTAGTCAGGTCAAACAAAGCTGACCTCTAGGGAGCCTCAAATGCCAGATCTACTAGCCCAGTTAATTCTGCCCGACCAGTCTCATAGTATCTTTTCATTGATTCTGGAGCTGAAGAACTTAATGTGCTGGATGAGCAGAGAGATGCTTACCATCGAGTCAGGTTTAGGCAGGAGTATGGACAATCTTTAACACAAAAGGACAATGTGAATATCCTATTAATCCATTCAGTCTCATTAATGCCCCTGTTGTCCCACACAGGCTGAAAAAATACGTATTTGTCTACACTGATAAAAATGTTTGTGTTTTTTTCTAAGCACAAGCAGGATCATTTACAATGTCAGGTGTTACAAAGGCGTCTGAAGAACCAGCTGTGTGTTAAAGTGGAAAGGTTTGTGGTCTGTGGTTTTTTATCACAGATTTGGTTTTGATTGCAGAACTTGTCTCGGTTCAGGACAACCTGGCTCAGTTATTTTCACTTTAGCTGCAGGCTCAGTACTCTTATTTTGAAAGGTTCTAATCACAGCAATCTAATCAGCCAATCAGAGCCCTCCTCCCTGTCTCTGTTTCCTCTGCAGCAACTGTATTTATCTTCTGCAGTCCTCTGTCATACTTCCTATAAATATTTGTTCACTGAACATTTTTTACTGAGTTTGTTTCATTGCATTTCATGTTGAGTTTGAATGCACTCAGGATTTTAGCTGTTGTGGAATTTCGATGAATTTAAAAACCCTCGCTGTCTCATTTACACCTCCACCAGGGATTAGCAGTTATACATAAAACATGTGTTAAGTGTTCTCACATATCTGCTGGTAATTTGAATTAATTGAATCAGTGGTTAAGCTCCACTCTGCTGCCAACCAGGGAAAATAATTGACTTATCTTTTGAAGTCATGCCAGTCATTAAGCTTCAGTATGACAGAAACTAAATTAGTAAATTCAGAGTTTATGTAGAAAACCATCTTTCTGCTCAATATGTGCGTTTTTACATAAAATGATTTCCTTTTTCTCCACAATCACAGTGACAGAATCAAATTTGCACATTTAAACTAAATATCTAATGTAATGATTTTGATCCACAGTTCAAACGTTAAACTGGATTCATCAATAAACTACAATAAATAGTATGTATCAAAAATCTATAATCAACTGACTGTCATGTCCATCAGAAACCTGTAAGAGAAGGGGTGGAGTTTCATAACTCGTCACAGCTCTTCCATCCAATCCGTCTGTGGGTGGAGCAAGTGTTTGAATTATACAGTAGATCATCATTGATGAGCCTCGTCTCCTCCTGAATGGTCGACATGTTAACCTTAACAGGGGGCTGTGGTGCAGAGGCAGAGCGGGTCGTCCCCTAATCGGAAGGTTGTTGGTTCGTTCCCCAGTGTGCTTGAGCAAGATACTGAACCCCAAATTGCTCCCAATGCTGTGCATCAGTGTGTGAATGTGTATGAATGCATTAGTGTCTGTTCGATGGGCTTCGCCATCACTGAGTGAATGTGTGTAAGTACAGGTCCATTTACCATTTAACAGTTAATCACATGATCAATAATGTCAATATTAGCTCAGCATGTGTCTGTGTGTCCTTGCACAGAAACAATTATAATATGAGCTGAAACAAACACACACACACACACACACACACACACACCTTCCCCCATCACGACAAGAGACGAAGGAGAGTGTGTGTGTGTGTTTATTGATGACTCAGGACGAGCTGACACACTAACAGAGAATATATAGTTGTCATTATCTCACTAATGGATGTTTGGCTGTGATCAACACACACACACACACAGTAGATAAGCTGTTTCCTGTATGAGACAGTGTTCAGTCTCACAGTACTGGAGGTATCTAATGTACTAATACTGCAGTATAATGTGTAGTACTGACTGTCAGCTAAGGTTAGCTACGAGCTGCAGTTCACCTCCTTAAAACTGAAACACACATGGACCTGCCACATTGAATGTATAAATAACATACAAATACATATACATACATATACAT